CAGTGTGTTATTTGTTGAAACTGTACTTCCGATTTGATTTGAAACTGTCTCGTTGCTATCTGTTTATCAATAAAATTTTGAAAAAAAAAAAAAAGAATAAGTCAAAGGGGCCACGAGTTCCAGGACAAAGCCTGGGCTACTCGGGAAGACTAAAGAAAACTGAAATATCGAAAAGACAGTTACAGTACAAGATAACACTCCCAATACATTAGCAATCACAGCAAATGGATACAACCCAGATTTCCAAAATTGTATGAAGCTAAGCCCCACATAAGATATATTAAGTGTGCACCTAAAATATAGACATGTAAAATTTAAAAATAGAATAATCATTAATAGACATGATTTCTCAAAATAAACCTTGCTCAATACTATTAATATCAAAGAAAAATGATGGTTAAGCCAAAGCAATATTGGGAATAGAACAGATTAATACATTTTAAAATACGTAATTCATCACATATGTTTGAATTTTATTTTATTTTATTATTTTTTTTTCAGAACCAGGGATTGAACTCAGGCCCTTGCGCTTGCCAGGGAAGTGCTTATTCTACTGAGCCATCTCCCTGGCCCAATGTTTTGGGATTGAACCGCAGTCCCTATGCTTAGTTTAGCTTAGCTTGTTCTAAGTAGGTGCTTTAGACCACTGAGCCATCTCACCAGCCCCCCAATGTTTGAATTTTAAAAGCTCTTCAAGTATCTCATACAAATGAGTAATACAATGTTACATGAGAAGCTTTTAATAATCATTAATTAATGATTAGGTAATGTTTTGAAAATGGGAAAAGGATTAAGAGATGGAGGGAAGGAAGGGAAAGGGACAAGGACATGGTCCTGACTTTGTCTCTGGCACTAAAATAAAGATAAATGAACAAATAAATAAAGTCAGAGCTATATGTACAACTCACTGGGGTCAACATAGTCATGATGTACCACAAACAGGTGCTAATAAAAGTAAAAACTAAAAAACTCTAGCTTCGTGAGAGTGATGAAGCCTGCAAAAGCGCAATGAGCTTGAAGAGACTGTGCAGACGAGCTGTGCATTTCGCGAGCACACCTAACCGTCAGACTGTGACTTTTTCTCAAGCTTGCGCGCATCAAGCAAACATAAACATATTCTAGGTGGTCATTTATGGGAAATTGTGTGATTAGCTTGTGCATTTACTTTGGAAGTTAACGAAATTACAAACTAAACTGATCCTATGCTTTAATAAATTTCAATAATCTAAATATCTGTCTCTGAGGAGAAATGATAGAGTTATAAGTTGCAGGGTGCTTCTCTTTTTAGGAGCTTAATTCCATCTATGAGTTTGGGGGAGAGGACCACAGTGGTGGCTGTCACCCCCTGGAGAGTTTATAAAGGGAAGCACAATTTTAACAAATGCTTCTGCTCAGAAACTGAATTATTCACAAACAAGAGCATCCATAAACCAAGACATTCTGCATTATTACTTAATTGCTATTTCAAAGATTTCTACAATTCAAAGAATTTTGATTCCTTAAAAGAAGTGCTTGTACAAAAATGAGTAATCAACTAATTATATTAAGAAAGTAAAAAGCCACAGTTTAAAAGAAGAGACTCCATTTGCATAAGCAGGCCTTGCAAGTTCTTATGCTTCTTGGGCTGGTCAGATAGCCTGGCAGTCTAAGTGCCTGACTGGCAAGCACAACGACCAGGGTTTGATCTCCAGTACCGCATGCTGTGCCAGCCATGGAACCCCAGGCGTATGGTGCCCACCACTGAAACCTGGCATGGTGGCGCACTCCTGTAATCTCAGCGCAGGAGAGGCTGAGACAGGAGGATCACTACGAGTCTGAGCTGCATAGCGAGGCCCTACACCAAATAAATAAATAAATAAAAGATTTTTTTTTAAGTTCTTATGCTTTTCTAACAAAACCAGACAAAGTACAAAGAAGTTTTTTCTCGTAGTAAGGCCAAGAAAGACTGAAGATTATAGTTAAGACTACATCTTTTCTGAGCTATACACACAATGATCAGGGACAAAGAGAAATCTTAAACCGGCTCTTCCTTATCTCCCAAATCTCAGCACTTTACTACATTCCTCAAAGATTAATCTTACTGTATTGTGAATCCTTAGAGATCGCCCCTCATCAGTCCGACAGGAAGCCGAAGGAGACCCAGACTCCTTTCCACCTCCCCTAACTCTTCTCCCATGATGCTCTTTCCGTGGTCTTTTTCCCTCTTCTCTCCTCCCTTCCTGAGACCTTCGATCTGTGTTATCTGAAGTCCATGGTCTGTAATCAGTGAAACCTACCATGTCTACAGGCTTCTCTGGATCCTCCCTTCAGCAGACCTCATGCAGCACCCACCTTGGGTCGCTATTTTTCATTCCCACTTGGCCTGCAGGGCAAATTTCTTCATATTCTTGCTACCCTTTCCTTCAATCTTCCTTAAAAGCCCGAGCTTGTAATCGCACATCATCAGATCGCCTGATTTCTTTTATTGCCTGCTACTGTGCTACCTCTTGCAACAGCCCCTCATTATTTGTTTATAATTTTAAAACAACTCTATCTCATGGTAGATGCATTCATTATTATTTTTGTCTTCCTGTTATCCAGGTATGGAGATCCTTGGTAATTCACAGTGAACTTGCAATCAGTGATCCTGTCTCTCCTCCAACGCAGCCTTGTGGAAACACTCCATAACTTAGCATTGTAATGATTCTAATCTGGGTAGCCTGGTTCTGCTGCATCCCTCCCTGGGACACAACCTTCTCTCTTCCAATAAAAAACATAAAATATTTACCACAAAATAAAACCATTAGAACTGTCATGTGACAAAAGTTCACTTGCTGGGCCTACAGAACTCTGGGTTTGACAGCAAACACTATGAGAGAGAGAGAGAGAGAGAGAGAGAGAGAGAGAGAGAGAGAGAGAGAGAGAG